TTGTGCTGGACCAACACCCGCGCACATTTGCATGCAAATGAGATGGGAAATGGCGCTGGGGATGGGGATGGGGATGGTGCTGTGGCTGTGGAGCCAGGAGTTGTACCTTGGTCTAGGTTTCAGATCTCTGGTCCCCGAGAGTGGGTGACGCTAAGCACCATTTGACGCCGGTCACTTCTTTTGGCTCTTTTGGGCCAGACCGAAAACGCCGGCGACACTTTTCAGGCCGGCCCGTCTGAAAAGTCCAAGATGTCCATCAACGCCTGCGTGTCTAACGAAGGAACGAGAGTCGCCGCACATCAAAGCCTTTGGCGCCACCTTGGCTAACAGAGCTGCTAATTTGGCTTTTTTTTTAAAAAAACAGCACAATGTTCAATTTAAAAGGACTTATTTTACAATACTTACTTACTTACTTGCTTGAATAGTACAGAGCAAGGAAAAAGAACAAATTGTTAGACCTCCTGAATAAATTGTTAAAATAATTGCTACAAATTAAATCATTCACTAATTCTTTAATTAATAACAAAAAGTAATAACTTAATTATTTAAACAAACTGCATTTAAATTCTTTTTAAATTTTGTCTTGTATAGCGAAGAAATTAATTAATTATTTTAAGCTAGTTTTTATCAAAAAGACAATTTAATTAAAAAAGCTCAATTATATTACTCTTACTGGGTTTTTATTCCTTACAGAAAAAAATATTATTTGAAGCTAGTTTTAGTTAAGTAGACAACACTGTGGGTCCAGACCAATAGGCCAAGATGCGGAACAGGATGCGGAAAGACGCGAGGCGAACTTTATGGCTGACACCAATCAACTTTGGCTTGCTGGGGCCTACGACGTTGTCTAATGCCTTTGTTTATGCCCTCGACAGCATCAAGCCCTCGTCTGGTCTATAACTCTGTTGGCAGAATGGACTTGGAACTCAAGGTGCCACCTTCACAGCCATTTACACACCGGGAAAATATAGTATAAACTTTTACTTTAAAAAACATTTTAAAGTATCTTAAAATCGAAATAGAAAATCACATTTTTTTCATAAATTAACTTACTTATGATTATGTGTTGAGCCCAATTACTTTTCAAAGTTTTTTTAAGGAGCCATTTTTCTCTGATTAAGTTGTTGACAAGTAGTTAATTGTATGTTCTGCGCACTGCTATGTTAATATATTCCTGAGTGCACTTCTTTAGACACGAGCGTAAATGCTTACATCTTCGAAGGGTTTTCCGCTGGCAGTATCAAGTGCTCATTTTGTCGCTCGTCTGTCGGTGACACCCACAGACAATTTGCAATAATGCGGCTCATCAACTCGCTTTTGACAGTCCGAACCCCACACAACCCCCTGAACACCCCACATTGCTCCTTGGGCAGAAAGTGCCACCTTAAATTGGCCTTTTATCTGTCCGCTCCCTTCGACGACGATGCTCTTTGTGCCTCATCGACTGAGGCTGATCAAAATCCTTGACAAATCTGCACTTTTATTAGTTGGCAATTTTTGCAAGGCGGCAGACGACCGGCAAATCGGCTGATGACGACGGCACGTGTCTTAAAGATGTTAAAATAAAAGCGGAAATGAGCGCCATTTGTTTTTGCCATCGATTTGCTGGAGGGGAAGGTATGGGGGCGGTAAAAGGATTTGCCAAAATATTTGACATTTTACACGGAAAGAAACTAGTTAAGGTATGGGAAATGCTTTAAGCAAAGCCTACCGAAATTGAAATCAATATTCTAAACTATTTTATGTAGAAACTCCTTATTAATTATTTGTGCATGCATTTATACTAAATTTTTATTGAGAATATTTTTTTAAGGATTATTAAGCCTAAATATGAAGCCTAAATAATAGTTTACAATTTTAAATATTTAAATGTTTACAATTATAAATAAACGCAAGTTCCAGCCAATTAGTGTCCTTTTTCGAAAATCATCCTTAAATTACGCCATATATCACTTACTTTTCCCATTTTGTCAACCAGCATCAATCAAATGTCCAATTATACAACACAATTACTATTATATTCCTACGTTTCTACAAAATGCAGGGACATCGTTCAAACTTTATTCCCACACCAAACGTTCAGTGTACCTTTTTGGGTCCTGGCCAAAAACCGCCCCTGTGTATCTTCCGTTCAACTTTTGGCAATCTCATCTGCAAATCTGAATCTGGTAAACAGACAAAACCTCAAATAAAATGCACAAGAGTCCCAAAACTAAGGGTGACGATTCGGTGGAAAAAATATTAATTTATATTATTTGCAATGCTGCAGCATGCCGCAAAGTGTGATTGTGACAGGTACAGGCCGGCGACAAAGGATCTCGAATCTGCGGCACGTGACCGGCGCACTGCAAATATGCATAAAAATTGAAGATGCCATTGGCCGCTCGGATTGATAGTGTGCGCACACGGCCATTAAAAGCAAAAACTGGCCTTTGGATGAGGGTGATGACAGGCCGGAAAATTACAGAAGGAAGCTGTCTCTGCAAATTTCTGAAATATGTAGACTTTTAATAAAAATTGCCTACATTCCAACAAAAAATTCGAGTTTTTCTCTTGAAAAATGCGCATTGGCTAAATTCTCAAGCTGTTTGTTGATATTCACTCAACCGCATAATAATGATAAAAAAAAGCAATGAGAACTGACTTGAAAAAAACTTTAACTTTTAACAAAAATCATTTGCCACATTATTTTAAAACGTTTGACGTCACTTAAATTTCGAATATAAGTAAAAATATCTTATTTAATTGATTATATATCAAATATAAAATTGAGGCTAAACTATTTTCATTCTTTATAACAAAATATTTAAAATTTGTGTAATCTTGGCATGAAACCCACTTTAAAATTTATAATTTGTAACCTTTCATCTAAAAATTAAATTGTTATAATTTAAAATATTTAGATATTTAACCATAAAATTAAAATAAAGCAGATTTGGCTAGAAAATCCCAAGTTTCCCATACCTAACGGCTAGAGGTGATGTTCGCCTTTCGAATTAGGGGAGGGAAAAGCATATGCTGAGCTTCACAGGGGCACGGCAACGATTCCCACACACACACCGCAGGCTATTGACAACGCAGAACATTCGATTGTAAAACTCAAGTGGCCCATGGACCGAAAGGACACGAGGATGCGGACGATAAGTACCAGAAAGGAGCGGGCAGGGCATTGAGAAATTAAAGCCTTGCACGCACCCGCCAGCCCACCATCGAAAGTACCCCGAAATTGATGGCCAACAGACGCTCGCTGTCTGCCGCAGATACAAATGTATCTCTTCGCCTGCGTCAAACCGCCGAGTGGCGTATCTTTTTTCCTTCTTCCCTCGTCGAGCACTTTCCCACGACTCGCAAAGTGTTGCTTATGTCCCGGCTGCTGTAACAACACTGAGTTTATTTGCCCAGGGGTTGGGCTCGCCTCGTTCGCCTCATTCGCCCCGTTTTAATTGCCGCCTCCCCTCGGCTTAGCAGCCGGATCATCCCCTGGATCGCAACTCTACCCGTAGCTGGTGCTACTGCTGTCAGCTTCATTATTTGCTATTTTAGCAATTTGATGGTAAACTTTGACCACGGCTCGATGAGTGCTGTAACGAGTACGTGGCTAGGGTGTTGTTGCATGACGATAAGGACGCACGCGCGATGGTCCAGCTGCTCCTTGTCGGCTATGTGGGGTGGTGATCTTGTCCTTCGTCACGAGCCAGTAAATTCTAAAATTTTATCGAATTTTCGCGTGCAGCGACAAGTGGTATGGGGTAGGAGAAATCATGTGAATCCGCGCCAGCACGAAGAGGGATAGTTATTTTACTCATGGAATTCCTAAAGTTCCTCGGGTGTTCTAATGGAACCAAATTTGCCCTCCCTGCCTTGGCCGTTCTTTACCGAAAACTTCCCATCATATTATCGAACGGCCCCTTCTACTGGTTCGGGTTCTAGCGGGGACTCATCCTAGTCGAAGGCAAACAAAAATGCAATTTAGCTAATCATTATAAAATGTATTTAAAATCTAAATAAAATTCTTAAAATTAGAGAACATATTGAAAAGATATTAAATGAGAACATAAATACATGCAATACAATTGAATTATTAAATTAATCTTTGCAGTAAGATAGCAATACGAATTTAAAATCAAAAAAAATATTATTCGAGAGCGAGAATACGGAAATGGCAGAAAATTGCAGTGAAGAGCGTACGGCGAATTCAAATCGAGTGGTTTGTTTTACTTATTTCGAAATTCATCTCACTCCAAAATTTTGAGAGACAAGAGAGATGGTAAATCCGCTCCTTTTTTTTTCTTCTCCTTTATGGATTATTCGAACTACTCAGTTTTGTACGGTGGGACGCAAAGTAATTCATTTGATATATATATTTTACAAAGACATATTAATAAAACGTGATATCTGACTCACCAACATTCCGGAGATCCACCGACGAAAGCGCTTCCGTAAGTGCACCTTAGGCTGAAAATTTAAATTTCTTCATATACACACTGCAAGCCCACTGTGCAAAACAACCGCAAAATTTTTCTCTTCTTTTTTTTTTTGTTGCAGTTCTTTCCTTCTTTTTTTTTTTACACATTGGCTTGTTTGTCCACCCAAAAAAAAAAATTAAAATAAATTATGCCTAAAGCAATTCGTGCTTCTAGTTATTCATTATTAAAGCCTTTCTGGCCTTCTAACCATCACTGCACTTTTCTCTTCTTTCCCTTCTTTTTTTCTTACTTTTCCATTCTCACTGCTTATTTCACATAACCTAGACCGCAAAAAAAAAGGAAAAAAAAACTTATGAAATAGCTTATAAACTATCCACTTTCAGCGAACTCCGACCGATCTTTGGCTTTCCGAACTGCCTTACATTCCGTGCGGCGACTTAACAATTATTCCGCATTGTTGTTCGACGAGTTAAATTAAATTTTCGTCCGAGCGTGGACCGAAACGTCTAAACTAGATCAGCGCGCCGAAAAACTGCCTGTCAAACCGAGCTTCGCTAAGTTTCGCTCGCAGGCGGGAGATAACGAAGATGATGAAGAGGGAATATAAATATTATGTGTAATTTGGGCAGGTGTTACATCTCGAGTTCTTTTTGACTCTTTTGCCCTCTCTTAGTCCTAACTCCGCTCCCAGCGACTTAAGCTGATTAAATAATTATCTTAGGGAACTCTTAGGCCTTTGAGACCCCTTTATGCGACGATAATTTCCCTTCTCCGTCGGATGACTTCGCTCTTCTTTAGGGGGACTTGATGAATTGTTCCCTCTACAGCAACGGCCGGATCCAATATCGGATACTAAGCGCCAAACCTAAATCAAAAATCACTTTTGTGTCTACAATCTTAGCAACCATTTCATTTTTTCTTACCCATAAACAGGATTTAGCGCTATATATATAATCTGGATATTCTATCCGTCACTTTACACAAGGCCACTACAGAGATATAATTTTCAAACAAACTTTCACCAACTAATTAAATACGAGACTTACAACTGAACTAAACCGCACTCGATGGCTGCCGAAAAGGGAAAGAAAGCCAGCAGCTCGTGGCTCTGGGCGGGAAGCTAAGTTAGCCCCCATAGAATAACTCTCCGTTTTCCGGGATCATGACAATTGACTCTGTTGCCTCTTCGTCTCCGAAAATTCTTACCCCAATCGCGGCACCCAACTGACCACTAGATGGCGACACTTTCGGTTTTTGCCTCATAGATGGCACTGCCCATCGATGTGCCTGCCACAAGCGTTACAGTGCCTGACAAACTGTCTGCACTGGCAAAAAAATCAGGAAACAAATAATGAATAATTAGAAAAAAAAAACAATTTTTACAGTCAAAACAACCTTTACAGACCCTTCTATATAAAATAGAATTTAAAATGATTTTTTTCCTCTGACATTACTATTTTCAGATCTTAATATATAACTTACTACGCTGTTTAATTTAATTTCAGTGTACCATTGCCATGTCATGGTCTTTATTTGCCTGCTGCTGCTTTTCCACGGCAGCACCAGGATGCCAAATAGAACTGGGCTCGCACAATGGTCATGTTGCCACTTTTGTGCCGATTCTGTCTGGCGTGGCATTACATTTTTAGCCATGCCAGGGGTCCGTTGTTAATTGATTATGTAGCCAGGCATATCTATCTATCATGAGCATGAGAACCTTGACCTCCCACTCAGCAAAATATGACAGACCAGATGACGTGGAAATAGATTGGTAACTGTTATTACGGAGGATAATTTAATATTCCGAGGAAAATGATTCCTTGGAGAGGAAGTATTACTCGACAATTATCAAATACTACTCCACTTGAACTTAAGTTGAAGACGTGTAAGACAAACTGCTAAAATATAATTTTTATTTAAATATAAACTAAACAGTATACCAGTTAATAGATATAGATTTTTATGGAAAACTGAAGTTTTAAAGATTAATAAAATAATCACTTGAAATACCGTATTAATGTCCAATGCTATCCTTAAAATTGTATAAGAAATATTTCACCCGAGGCAAATATATGTTGATCGCATTGTTCCCTGTCATTCTGACTAAATTCCCCAAAAGCAAAACACAAGAAAAGAAACCAAGCCCCACCCCACTTGTCAACCCACACACCCTCCTCTCGATCAGTTTGGCTCTAATTTAATTTGCATTTTAACAACTTTTTGCGTGTGGCTTGGGGTTTCTTTTCTGGAACTGCGAGTGGACAGTGGTCAGTGGTCAGTGGACAGGAGGAGGCTGGCAACAAAAGGCGTGACTGCAACATGCGCCAAGTGCGTGAAACGCCAAAATAACACAGCAACCTGCCAAGACTCTACCTGCGGGCGCGCACCCAAGCCGCGCACAAATTAAATTAGTTTGAATAAACAGCGAGCCACAAAAACGAAACTAAAATGAAATAAAAGCCAAGTGCATAATAAATGAACCGAACGGAGCGAAATACTGGGCGCAGCCACAAAATCGAGTAAGGCAATATAAGAAGGAAACCAAACCGAACCGAACCGAACAGAAATCAAGGCAAAGCCAGGCGGCCATGAAGACCCATCCCCATCCCCAACCCATCCCATCTCATCCTATCCCAATTTAACCCGAAGCTGTTACTCTGGGTACAAGACTTGGACTGCGTGGGCGCAAAAGCTCGCGCAGGTGATTTTAATCGCATGCCAGGAATCTGGCATAAACAGGTGAACCTCCGAAGACTCTGCCAACTTCAGCTCCGAGTCCACCTCAAACTCCAACTCCAAAACGGACCGCAAGGCAAAAAGGCAAATAAAAAAAATTAAATCAGACACAGAAGGAAGGTTCCAACGTGGCAAAATGGGATGGCAACGTGAGGGTCCTGAAAATAGAATCACACAAAAATATACACAAAAAAAATATATATAACGATTACAAGACTCGCAAATAATCGTTAATTGAGATTTAATAAAATAATTATCATTTGTGATTTTTATTTATATGAATCTGAAAAACTTATACTATAAATTAGTCCTAGATAAAATTTGAGCAGGTTGATGTTTGTTTTTAGATTTTTAAGTCCATCGTATAATCGTATTTAAATATTTAACTCAAGATTTTAAAACAAAGTAAATAAGTGCCCAATTGTTTCTGATATTCCCACCTCATTTCCTTGTACAGTGCGTTTCGTGACACGAGACCATCGCCACATTTCGTTGCCAGATCACCGCAAATGAGCCCGAAAGGATGCGGCTTTGTGGGGATTGCGGAGCAGGAAAACGAAACGAAAATTGTAAATCACGAATTTTGCTGGAAGATATGCAAAAAGCGGCGCACATTTTGTAGCAAATTGAATTTTCAGCAGAAAATCCCCAAGAAGGCGACCGAGAAGTTTTGTAGCGAGGCCTTGTTAAAGGCGAAAAAATAAGAATCAGCCGCGCGCGCTTGCGCATAAATTTTCGAGTCGCAGTCGCGCAGCCCAGGAAAAAAACAAAAAAAATAAATAAATAAAAATAAGAGCTGCAACAGGTTGCAACAGCAGCAAGAGCATGCCCCAATCTGCATATACAAGCCATAAAGCAATTTCCATTTGGAGGCCCACTGCCGACTCCCCAAAAAAGGCGACAAGGGCGAGGCAGTAATGGCCACAGAGGCAGGCAACCTTGATCCTTGTCAAGTGCAGAAAATCGGGGGAGGCAGGGTGCAGATCCCCGCCAGGCAAAATCGTCTCCAGATCCAACTGCAACTTGGGCACTCTGCGATTCTTTAATAAGTTCGCAGCTCCACGGATTCCTCGTTCTGTTCTGATTTCTAGACACTCGCTGATCTCTACGCATTCTGTACTTTACCTACTCGATTTTTATGCAAATCCGTATTTTTATTTTTATTTGCCCAAAGGAGGAGGAAAAGTCAAGACGCACAGGGAAAAATATGATGATATTTATCATGCTGTTCCTCTACTGTATGTTTCTTTCTAAAAAAATTTAAATATATTTATTTGGAAATATTTTATTTTGGGGTCTTAAATAAGAAATTTAATATTTTTCTTACTTTAAAGGTGACTAACGTGATTAACGCTTGCTGCGCTGCGATATTAATTAAAATAGAATAACAATAAATAAATAAATACACATATTTATTAAATTTAACAATAATTTTATTGATATAAATGTGTATTCTTAAATGTGTGATATTTTTATTAGGATTGTTTAATAGTTTAAACTTACGGTAGGTAATCAATGTGTAAACTCTTAATAGTTTTACTATTTTATATCCAATCAATCGTAAAGGCCTGGAGAAATTTCTTACTGTGCAACGATGACGACGACGAATTCATTTCGTTTTGTTTGTCGTATGCAAAAATTGTTATGGCCAGGCCATAAGGACGGACTTGCCTAGAGTCTCTGTCTCCGCTGTTACCATTTATAGCCGCTGGCTGTTTTCCGTTGCCAAATTAGTGAATTTACATGTTGAACAATGATCAATGTTTTGTTAGCACATGTTTGCCTCACAAAGTTTTTTGTGTTGTTGCTACATGCGATCCGCCAGATACTCGTGCATATAGTAAACAGCATGCGGCAGGAGGAATCCGCTGCATATGCAAAACAATGAGAAAATTTGTTGAAAAAACCAAGCAAAACTCTCGACCAGCTAAGTGCGGTAATAACAAGTGTAAGCGTGGGTGGAAAATGGGAAATTCGATATTCAAAATAGTGGCTTACAAATGCTAATGTTGTACAAGGCTGACTGAGTTAAATAAATAGTCGTTCGAGGTATCTAAATAAATTCTGTAGAATAAAACACAGAAATTTAGAATATGTTTTTCAAATAATTTTTACATTTAATTTTTGCAGGATTTAAATGGTTGCTAACTTAACTATGGTTAAGAATTCATAGTTTCTCATATATTAGAAGTATTCAACACTTACGTATGCTGTCTTTACTGTATTCACAAATTTCTTAGAAAATCTTAGAAAAGCTTTACAACTTATTAAAAACAAATACATTTTGAAGTCAAGTAGAACAAAATAAATATTTAATAACCAGAGTACCAAACAATTTGGAGATCCCTTTCTACACATTTCCGCTGCTTTTTATTGATTGCATTAGGAAAGATGTTAAAATAGAACCAGGCCGTGCCATTAGTGGTCTTTAGAGGATTATGCAACACCTTAGAGCCGTAATGGGTTCCCCAAAAGTGAGGGCAAAGCCAAAACGCCGCCAAATCTTGCACAATGCAACAAAATAAGCAAAAACAAAGGCAGCAATGAAACAAAGATGCTACCCAAAAATGGTAAGAAAAACTCAGTTAGCAGTGCCTTGGTTTCGCTTTATGCCGTTTTCTCACCTCGAAGGAGTGGAGGCAATCAGTGCACCCACCGGCAGCAAAACGTTAACACTTGTTTGCCCAGCTAATCGCATTGGCTGCGATATGAAAGGCCGCAACAGAAAAACAGCAGCAGAAGACACACAACTTTAGGTAGAATTAAGCATCCAAATTCATGAGTCAGGCTTCCTTTGCCTTTTTTTTGTTGGCAAATATTTTTGTTTTACGTTTTCAATGTGGATCGTTTTGGTTTTTTTTTTGATTTGTGTGGCTTAATAAAATACCAAGAAGTCGTCGCCATCGCTGCGGATTGGGGGATCGAGAGATTGGGAAACAATGAATGCTTCCGCCGCGCTGTCAATGATTCTACCCCGAAAAGCGCCGAAAAAATAAATAAAGATTCGTGTGTGCTTGGTGATTTATGTGCCTCGCTTTTGGCCAATTTTCGTTTTTAGTCCAGAGTTAAATAATGCTCTTCCAAGAATATAAACCAACAGAAATGTATGTATATACATCCGATGGTTTTTTTTGTATGTCTGTGTGAATACAAATAAAAGGAATCAGGCAAGAAATCAGCTTTTTGCTGCACAATTCCCATCTATTTAGGGGGCCTTGAATGTGCATGTGAGTACTCATATCTATTCATAATTCGTTATTTGTCATTGTTACCGAATCTGTTGATTCGACTGCTTTCTGCCGAAACCAACATGTTGATTTTCTAAGCAATTAATTTGATTAACTGCCAAAAATCGTTGCGGGCTGCGGTTTTTCAAGCAGGCAGGCTCTTTGATCTAGCTGATCAGCCCGAATGCGGGGCGAGTGAGTTATAAGTCCGTCGGGCATCTATCATGAGCATTAAGTGTTATTAATTAAAAGTTCTTACCAAATAATTGTAGCTATGATATAACAGAGTCAAGGCAACCGCCAAAATAATGATTA